AAATCCATAGTAATGCTATCCCATTTCCACTCAGGAATCTCAATCTGCTGCATCAACCCACTCGGCTTCTGATGCTCAACCTTTACCTTCTGACAGGTCAGACAGGCCGCCACATACTCAACTATCTCCCTCTTCATACCAGACCACTAGAAAGTCTTCTAGAGGTCTTGGTACATCTTAGTCATACATGGATGTATGCTAAGTCAGCTTTTGTGGCCTTCCTCCAACACAGCTTTCTTCAGCTTGGCATCCTGAGGTAGGCAAATTCTGCCCTTAAACCTCAAGATTCCATCCTCTCCCAGCTCAAATCCAACAGCCTTCTCGGTACCCAGCAAACCAAGAAGCTTCGTCAGCTCGGCATCTTGCAACTGTTTGAGTCAAACCTGCCTCAAGAACTCATTAGTTATGGTAATCATCCCACAACTAATGTGATCCTGAGCTAACTCCACACAAAGATTTAAATCTCTAAACTCCTCAATCAGCTCTAGCTCCCTCATCATCATACTCGACATGTGGATGGATTTCCTACTCAGCGCATCTGCCACCACATTGGCCTTGCCCGGATGATACATCAACTGAAAATCATAATCCTTCAAAAACTCCATCCACCGCCTCTGTCTCATGTTCAACTCCTTCTGATCAAACAAATACTTCAGACTTTTGTGATCACTAAAGACGCTGAACCGAGCACCATACAAATAATGCCTCCATATCTTCAAGGCAAACACCACAACTGCTAACTCCAAGTCATGAATGGGATAATTACTCTCATGAGTCTTCAGTTGCCTTAAAGCATATGCTACCACTCTCCTATTTTGCATCAGCACACACCCCAGACCCTGATGAGAGGCATCACAGTACACATCAAAAGGCTCACTAGAATCCGGCAATACTAACATAGGAGAAGTAGTCAACCTCCTCTTCAGCTCATCAAAGCTCCGCTCACAGGCATCTGTCCAAATAAACGGCTGCTCTTTCCTTGTCAGCTGGGTCAGAGGTGCTACTATCTTAGAGAATCCTTCTATGAACCTTCGATAGTAACCCGCTAAACCCACAAAGCTTCGAATATCCGTGACAGTCCTTGGACGTTCCCACTGCAACACCGACTCCACCTTAGTCGGATCAACAGCAATCCCCTTAGCTGTGATCACATGTCCCAAGAACTTCACCTCATCCAACCAGAACTCACATTTTGAAAGCTTAGCATACAGCTGCTTCGCCTTCAAAATCTCCAGCACTGTCCTCAAGTGCTCACCGTCTCGGGTCCTTGAATAAATCAAGATGTCATCAATGAACACTACAACAAATTTATCCAAGAACGGCCGGAAGATCCTATTCATGTAGTCCATGAACATTGCGGGGGAGTTGGTCACACCGAATGGCATCACAACATATTCGTAGTGACCATACCTAGTCCTGAAAGCAGTCTTCGGTATGTCACCCTCCTTCACCCTAATCTGGTGATAGCCTGATCTCAAGTCAATCTTTGAGAAAATGGATGCTCCCCTTAGTTGATCCATCAAGTCATCTATCCAGGGTTTTTTTTTTTTTTTTTTTTTTTTTTTACAATGTTACACAAGTCATTAATCTATGTTGGCCTAGCATGTTTACATGCCTTGCTGTTCTGTTTTTATTTTTTAATTGGTTTTGGGCTCACCTCTGATTGGTAAATATAGTTTGGGTCAAATTGGGTTTGTATTGTATGACTTTCGACTATTTGCATTCAAGTTAAGGCCTTTTATGCAAAATTAACAGAGAAAAGACAAGTTAGTGAAATAATAAAACAAAATCCGTTTGTAATAAAATAAAATAAATAAATCGTGTAGAAATTCTAATTTGTTCCGCTCCAAATGATATTAAATGTTTATAATTTAACTATGAATATAAAATATTAAATAACAAAACACACACACCGATCAACAAAAAAAAAAATAATTAGAGATGATGCTCGTTCAAAACTTAAATGATCATAGGTGACATTAAATTTTGTCAAGAAATCGACAAAGAAATTAACTTATCGAGAGACATACTTAAAACTGACAATTTAGTTAAAAGAAGTAAAATGTTGAATTAAATTTAACAAATTGCACATTAAATTACCTGGACCATGTACTTCTATTTTATTTTATCTTTCACTTTGGTGGAATTACAAATCACAATTTACATGTTCTACATATTTAATTGGTTGTTATTAAGTAGAGATGTAAATGATTCAAGTTAGGTTGAATTTGTTCTAATTTAAAATCCAATCCAATAAAACATAATCGGATTGTATTTTATTGTCTTAAAAAAATATTTTAATCCAATCAACTTTAGCCAAATTGACTTATTACAATATTAATATATTTTAAAATTAAAAGCTGAAAAAATATAAAAATATATATATACATAATTAATTTAAGTTGTAATATATGCATCATATAGTGTTAATTCTCTGGTTCTGTTGACGTTACTTTTCTATTTGGTGGACAATCTTTTTTTAGAAAGATGTCATAGTGCCTATGAACTAGTTAAGTAGTTGGATCTACTCGATTTGAATCATGTTATTGACATCATATCCGATAGGTATATTGAAAGTATCTTCTCATTTTACATTTTTTTACCTTTTGATATATATATATATATATATATATATATAATCTAATCAGTTTATGTTCCAACTAAATACATTATTAACATTTTATTATTAAATATTAATTTTAGGTCAAGTTGTATTGGATGAATTAAATTAAAAAATCATTAATTCATATGCTTAACTTAAATATAAGTGGGTTTGCTAGTATATGTCCAACCCAACAACTCAGTCCTTTGAAACATGGTCAATCCACTATCGTGATTAATATCATCCTCATATGAAAGTACATACCAATCACGTTTTGAACATTCATATATATTATTACCAAGCATACTGAATCATACATCACCATACATCATATATCATAAATACATGATCCAATCTCCAACTTTAAACATGCGAGAGCATCATTTTCAATTTAAAATCACCAAGCATACTCACGCCCGGCACAAGACAGTCGTCGCCCGACCTAAATCCAACCCGAGAGCTCTAAGGCTCTTTTCACGCCTGGCGTAGAATTACCACGCCCGGCGTCATCTAGGCAGAGACTTACAGGGGTCTCCATGCTCGACGCACTCACCCTGGGCCCTCACGTGCAATCAAACAACCTACATTCTAGTTTCCCTCACCTGAAAGTTGGACTCATAATAGCCAAGAAATGAGAAGAAGAAGAAGAATTCTCCCCAAACTCGACTCGCGGATTTCAATCCTCCGAAAACTAGCTTCCTAACCTGAATTCCAAGAAAAGACACAAGGAATTAGTGATTTAGGACAGAGAAATTTAGAAGGGAAAGGAGCTCACCAACCTAGAACCCTTCTCTCTAAAACTTTCTTTGAGATTGAGCTTATGAGACTCTATTTTCAGAGAAAGTCTTATATACTATTCTCTCTAGCATTCATTAATCTCGTTACAATTTATTATAAATGTAACTATAATATAACTTCTATATAAAAAATTAAATTATATAAAATAAACAATTGTTTTTTTAGACCTAGTAAACATTTTTTTATGTACACATAGTAAAATAATAATTATAATAATAATTTTGAAAACAAGGCTGGTGTAATTAGTTGAACAGAAAACTAGATAGGTCATTAGTTCAAATAATTCAAATAATTTTTTAATCTTATATTCTAGTATGTTTTAAAATAAATGAAAGCTCATAATTTATATATGGATTGCTATTATAAAATTTTCGTCTTTAAAGAGTGTAATGCGATATTATATTAACTTAACTGATTTTTCTTATAATTATGCATTACGTTATTAATAAACATGTTTTAAAAAATTAAAATATATGTAATGATTACTAATTTAACTTCAATCCAATCAGAATTAAATCTATCAACTCTCAATTGTAACAACAAAAAAAAGTTCGTACTTTCACTGCTGGAATTATGGAACTGATTTTACAAATTTTAGTTAGCATTCATCAAAACATTATCAATTTTTATGACACGATCATATATCTGCACAAAAACATTTTTAAAAACCATTTTTCAACAATCTTTTAAAAATTTCTCTTAACTTCTTATCTAATTCAATTTTTATATTTATTTATAAATTAAATTATAAAATTTTAAAATAAGTTATCAACAGATAAAAATAATTATCACTATAAAATATTTATCTTAATTCTAAAATGCAATTCATATATTTAAAAATATCTATTTATACAAACTTTAAATAATACACACACATATAATATATATATATGTATATATTTAAATATAGTATTTACTTTTATATATAATTTATTATAAATTTTAGTTATATATAATAAATATTTAATTTATGAAATACTTGGACTAAAATACTAATTATTTATATAACATAATATATATACTCAGTTGAGAAAATCAACAAAAAGAAAATTTTGGATACTAGTCTGATTTTATATGGAGTAAACAGTACTATTATTACATGGATTTCTGCACTTATTCAATTAATTTTTAACAGGACACATTGAATAAATCAAATCTGTTCAAATAATTTTAAAGTGAAATACTAATTATTGGCTGAATCGGATTGGATACTAGCACCTTTTAACAACCCATGCACAATCTAGAAAATATCATGGTAGACTCTGACTGTCTTCGACTTCACCAAACCAAATACAGCTTCCATTCTCATTTCCCTTATTGCAATTCAAATTCCACCAAACCTAACCTTCAGCTCACTGCAAATAAGAACCTAATCACATATTCAATGCACACAACCACCTTTCTCAAATCTTTAGTCGATATTTGGACCCAAAAGACAAAGCAAAGACGACTCAACTGCACAACCCGTCCCTCCGAACTCTCATATATCAATGGAATCAGTCAATCAGATCGTACTTTTAATCATAATTAGCTCATATGGACATCATTCCTTAAAAAATAGTCCACTGGAGCCACCATACCGACCAACCAATCTATAGGCTACGGAACAAACTGTTAATATTACCAAACTGATAATATGATTTCCATCAAATATTTTCTTAATAGAACATGAAGGGAGAATAAGTCAAAAATAAATTCTATAGAAATTTTATTAAATAAACATTCTCGTACATGTTTACAGTTTTAAATAGAAAATCACCATGAAAAGGGACTAGCTCCTAGCAAAAATATTTCATTTTCCACGTCTTTTATCCATTGACACACCCGATTGCAAGTCTTTATTGCCATGGCCTGCATACCTCAGTGTACAAAATTTTAAAGGAGGTTTTAAACCTACACTAATAGTGGAGGTTTTTTAAAGGAGGTTTTAAAGCTATGCTAATTGCAAGAATTTTTTACTGGAGGCTTTGAGGTGGAACAGTAAAGATTATTTAGTGGAGGTTTTAAAGTAAATTAACTATTACGATCATTAATCAATATATTTTTGTGGAGTTTCTAATCCTCCCTATTTTCCTGTATAATAATTTTTATACTCATTTTAATTGTATAATCTACATGTATTATAATTTCCCATTTTCACTTTTGATATTTATAAGAAACTTAATGAAAAAAAAAATACACATAAAATGGATGAAGAAATTCCATTAATAACCAAAAACACAACATATAGTTCAAAGATTTATAATTCATTCTTAGACAAAGTTATTCAGATTTCATTGTGCTCGATTTCAAATTTAAGAATTTTATTCAGATTTTCATTGAATGTTTATTATAAATATACAGTTGGTTAGTGATAAAAAAAATATAGTAATTATAGGACATTCACATATTTGTACAAGAAAAATAATTGAGATTTGAGAAATGTATTAAGCAAGCAAAAACAATACCTTGTCTGCAAGTGGATCAAATGCAGCATAAAGCTCAAAATCCTGCGTTATCCAACAGAGCAGAACTGCCACAAAAATTATCTTACAAGTCTGATCAGTGTTCAATGAAGCATCCAAATGTAATCGTGCAATTATAGTCCAATGCAACTAAAACAAACAATGTAAACTCTATGGACAGGTAGATCAATCAAGAGGATGAGTTTCATTAGCAGATTTGACTTTTCACAGCACAACAAAACATGTATAGATTGGCTTGTCTATTAATTGGTATGTATCTCTAAATGCATCTCACATAAAATAAGGGGTCTTATTTTCGATAGATTCACTCTTTTGAAACATCAAGGATTAAAACAGAGAACAAATACCACAAAAATAAGGACTTATCACCACCTCCCCTTCTTTCCCATAAGAAGAAAACCACAGTTCATAGAATTCAAAATAAATAATTGCATGAGGCAATTCAGGTCATAACAACATACTCAAAATATCACATATCTATCTCTTGGATGTATCATGACCACAAAGCATGAATCAAAATATTTGTTACCGTAGTTTTCGTCCCTTCTAAACTGTGTTTTGTGTGGTCCAATTCCTTTGTCATGCATGGATGCAAAAAGCTTCTGGTAATCCCTATACAGTCTGCAACAATAGAGACAGGTTATAGTGCTGACAATAACAAAAATGCATAAAAAAGAAAAATAGCTACAGCAACATAAAAACCAAGTAAGTTTCTAAAAAACACTACCTTTTCTGCTGCTTAGGAGTGTTAATAGGTGAGGAGAACTCTGAAGATATATATTGGTCCAGATAAATGCTGCGATATATGAAATGCCACAACCCAGCAGCACCGCCATAGCCACAATCAGGTTCCCTCAATCCTTCAGGGGAATCTGATGGAAGCCTATGCTGGCTCAAACGAGGAGACGATCCAAAACGAGGTATGGATGGTAGATCTTCAACACGCATCCCACCATCAAGCAAAGATCTCTGAACTTCACTAAGGACATTTGACTTCAAAAGGACCGTTTCGATATGAATCCTAAGAATTGGCAAACAAATTTCTAAACCATGCAGGCAACAAAGATATTGCTAAGTAAGTAGAGACCGAAGATCTCTTTGTTATAAATCATTATGTTCTTTCCTTTTTTAATTTTCTTCTATTGCCCAGATAAAAACATCATGAACCCAATAATAACAGCAGTCAGATTATGAAACCATCATTTACCTGCAATCCTTAAGATGGTAAAATGCATCAGAACTCGTGGTCAGCAACATCAAGTATGTGTCATCCTGCCACATAGGTAATGCTCAGTAATTTATAGTATGTAAATCATTTGGCAAATTTCAGTGCGATCAAATCCAGCTCACATCAAAATAGTGAATATAGGCATACAAAAATGCCAAAGCATTGTATCTTGGCAAGCAAATGGGAGAAAATGCTTCTGAAGTCCTGCAAAATTATGTCCCAATAAAGAGTAAGAAAATGCAAAAAAAAAAAAGACACAATAAAGCAAAGAATTCCAAAGTCCAAATCTTTTGCTAATGCACAGGATTTAAGAAGTTTTACTTCTTGGTTCAAGTAGACAGAATAAATAGAAAACTGTAGTATACCATTAAACATCAACTAGATAATCTAGACTGAATGAAAAGTAAACTATACTATCAAACCATCTTTGAGATGCTAGCGGAAAGATAAAATAGTGAAGTTCTACTTGCCTAAAGGATTCTGTTGACATAACAAAGTTGGCCAAGAGCAACATATCATCTGGATGAAGAGAGGCCTTCTGAGCACCAACTAAACTGATTACCTGCCTTCAACCTTTAATCAATTATTTTTATCATTTTATGTTAGCATAGGACTAGAGTCACTAGACAAATTTTAAGTACAGTTAAACCTTGTGTCTGCACATCAGAATTGCAAACAGAACACCAGAATCAGCAACGTCTTGCAAGATAGCACCAGCAGCTTGCCTTGTTGCATATGAAAGAGGTAGGCATGTATAGGCGTGAAGAAATGTAGCTGGATTCCTAACATGATCAGACAAATAACAATGTTCACCACCCAAATACAACATAAGTTATTGGGAAATAAGGAACACTAAACATACAAACAAGTAAAAGTGTAAAACAACCATTTCTCCCCAACACACCAAATAAATACACAGAAGATTGCAGAAAAAGCACCTAAAGCACCCATATCTTACAAAAAAATATTTTAGTATTTCTAGTTTAATACTAAAAGACAAAATGTGCACAGAGCAGAGAAACAAACCAGCTAAAAGAGTGGATTAGTGAAGAGAAGACAGTGTCTGTTCCACCAAGCAAAGGTGTCATATCAAACTTTGGATTCTTCTCAAAACATCTGTTTACTGACTTTGTTAGTATAACGATCATCTGCATACATATCAAAAACAGGGATGTATCATACAACTGATGCAACATAACTAGTCCATTTAAATTACGAAGAAAGAAAAAATGCAATAGTAAATTGAGAAACACTGGAGCTGAACAAATGGGAACAACGGGCAAGCAAAAAAAATCATTTTTCCAATACATTGGGGCATACAAGCATCTAAATCAATTATACCTGGCCATGTATAAGCTCCAACTGCCCCTTAAGTGACTCATAAGGCGCTTCTGTGCAACTGATGCAGACTAAGTAAATTGGTCCTTTTACAAGAAAAACCACCTGTAGCAAACTTCAAACTAAGATTTCACTACTGGTCCAACAATGCCTAACAGATAAAAGTCTTCCTCCTAAACACTAATAACATAAGATGAGAATCTCAACAATGAAAAAGAAAAGCACATAAATCCAATATCTCTAACTTACACTTCAAAAGCTAAGGCAAGAATTAAGATCATTTTGCTTAACATAAAATTTATTAGGGTTTGAAGTGTAGGCTTATAAGGAAGTAATGCTTAAAAGAAATTGCATCATCATGAACAAAGACTTTTACAAGAGAAAAGTGTATGATCAGACCTGATGCTTTCCAGCCCTCACCAATTTGACATGGTCACCCCTAAAAGCATAAAAGATAAACAGTATAAAATTTCCTTAAATTATAGTCAGATAAAGAATCAAATGTAATTAGGAATATTACAATAATTAGAAACTACCAGGCTATAGTTAACCAGAACAAAGACAGTAACAATACCCATTCTCCACAAAGGAAATGATTGCTTGCAAAGTTGCTGAAAAACCAGCAAGCTTGTGTTCATCTCCGTACCTGAATGAAGAAATAGAGGAATGGGTCTTGAAGTTTGAGACAGCAATCCTAGAACAAGATATGAACAGCAATGGAGGGGAGGGGAGTTTGTATGAGAAGTTGATAAAAACTAACCTAGAATATATTGGTTTACCAGAATGACTTAGAACAAAAAAATGCTTCTTCCTTTTCCTCCATGAAATGGAAGCATCATCCTGCACTTTATTCATTAATCAAACAGAATATGATATTACAACCTCTACAGCTATCTTCAGTGTAACTGTGACGCCCTCAAACGGCTTGAATCTAAAAATAAATGTTTGTTCTGTATCAACAAAACCAATTAATTAACCAGAATTGCCAAATAGCTCATCATATCTATAACAGTTTATTTATTGGAATCCGAAAGTCTCCTCTTGAAACCAAAACAATATTTATTAATGGTAATTTCCCATTTTTTCCATGCTATATTTCTATTCATTTTCATTTCTACTAAAGCATTTAATATTGACTTGCAAACAGAATCCTAAGAGAGAAAATCCTCAAAATTCTACTAAAGCATTTTCATTTCCATCGCACATTTTTGACTTAATATCACCTGCCTGTTACGGTACATATTCTATTTATTTACTCTTTCTCTCCCATAATAAGTGTAGTGTTTAAAAGAAATACAAAGTCTTAAAATAAGTGCTAGGTTAACTTTGCAATGTAGAATTATTATTTTTATTTATATCTTTATAATATTCTTTAGAAAGTGGTTTTGCATTATATAGTTTCTAACGGGAAGATTAATTATAAGGTTATTTTTGTAAATTCAAAATTCTCCTTTATCTATTTATTAACTTTCATTTTATTAAAATAACCTAGATGACACTTAATATGGAGCGGTGTGAATGATAAATTGAAAATCCTTATCATAGAACCAAAAGTTGAATGATTGTAAACTTAATAACGGAGCTGTCTGTAGAACAAAACCTATACAGCAGCATTGAAATTGAATATTCTTCAATGAAATCTAAGGAACAACGGAAAACTCAAAGAAGTTAAGTTTCAAATTTATCATTATTTCCTAGTAAATCTGCAAAACCACTAGTTCAACATAGTGTGCGATAGGAAGGGAAGCAGGAACATGAGCAAATCCAAATGTAGGTTCGGAATAAGTCATTAGACAAGGCGTATTTTGCGTTATGACAAGATGAATTGCAACGGTGACAACAGAATTGAAGAAGAAACTGTAAAATAACGATTAGATGAATAAATAGAAGAGTGAGTGAAGGGCACTAACACAACACTAATGTTTGGAAGAAACGCATATATATACCTCATCGGCGTGTCGTTTTCCGGGGAGCCAGGTGGGGCTCGAGAGGGGTTGGGAATCGTGGATGGACATCTCCTCGATTTCGTGGTGAGGGAGCTCTTCGGCGTGGGAGGCGCTGGTGGCGGTGCTGCTTCCGCGCTCGGCGGCGTAACCGCTGCTGGTAGGGCTTGAGGCGGCGGATCCGTTGGGTTGGTGTAGGTCGGACGGTTCGACATCGAAGAGGCTCGGGGAGAGGGGAGGCAATTGGAGTCGGATTGGAGACTCATGATCCCCTGAACTCATCTCACTCGTTGGTCGTTGCAATTCAATTCACTTGACAACAAAACGAGAGAGAGAGAGAGAGAGAGAGAGAGAGAGAATTTGAGTTGCTCGACTTTGATGCTTGCTTTGGCGGAGTCTAGTCGGAGTACATACCTTGCCGCCTCGAACTGCCATCTGTGGGCCGGGTTGATACATTCTCCAAGGCCCAATCATGCAATTCGCCACCTTCAATTCATTTATTACCTTAGGCCAAAGCCCAACCATCGGTTTATTACGTTTTTTTTTTATGTATTTATTTTCAACACGACAGTGAAAATAAAATGTTTTTCAACCTTTTCAATATACACGGCGGAAATTGATTTCAAACCATACCTTCACGGCTTCACATGAAATCTCAACACAGTAGAATTAAAAACAGAATTCTTACCTTCCCCTCTTAAACCACAATGATCCAAAACTTAATTTAAAGTAACAAACACCATCACTACCAAAAAGAAATTGATCAGCATCATAATCACTTGCTGCAGGACAATCATACAATCAATTTTACCCAATACCACTTGTGCATACCAATAATTCAACAATAAAACATTTTGAAACGAGTAATGACCACTCTCAGACCCAAACTTCCCCCCTCACCTTCAAATTTTATAGAAATCGTTCACTCAACAATGCAAATATAGAAGAAAGAGAAGGAAGAAGAAGCTCTGTGAGAGAGAGTGAGCACTCTTCTATTGAACACAATCTGTATATGCAAAGATATAATTGAGAGATACATAAAAGACATTAAAAGATAAAATAAAGTAAAATAAAATTGTGTATCTAAACCCTAAACTTTATATAAATATTTATAATCGAATTCGATCTTTGATGAAAATAAATTTTAATCAGACTTTATTTATCCCTTAACAGTGATAAAGTTATCTAAGGTAAACTCTTAGAATACGGAGTGAAAACCAAAAATAATAACTAACAACAAATTATTTCAAATAATAGTACATGAAATCACTTAAGTAATATTTTTTATTTGAGTTTTGTAAATAAATAAAATATAAAACATTAAAAATCCAGATACTACTAAAAATAATTAATCAAATACTTTAATAGACATTAGTCATACACAAAACTAATACAAATTTTTAAATGATCATTTCTAGCAAAGTATATTTTTATAGTCAAATTCAATATTAACAATGTTTTCGGTGAGCATGAAATACGAAGGAAAAGTGAAGAAATTTTTTTCACATAGAATAATGCAAAATTGCAAAAAAAAAAAAATAACACTCCAAATATATCATAATTGTTAATTGATTATGTTATTTTTATTTATTTTTTACGATATCAAAAATAACAAAATGATTATATTACTATTTATTAAAAAAAATATTTTATTGATAATTAATGAAGTCGAAACATTCTTAATCTTTATATTTTTTTTAAAAATATTTAGAAATTATTAATATTTATTAAATTAATTAATATTATGCCTAACTTTAAAACTTTAATAAAATAGTCTAAAAATTATATATATATATATATATATATAAATAAATAAATAAGAAATCACCTTCGATTGAAAAAATAAACAACAATTCTAGCTATTTATTTAAATTATTTTTTTTTTATATTTTATATAAGGTAAGATGTGTTTTATTAATGTAAATTTTAGTTATAATTATGTTATTTTCAATCATACTCAGACGTTCTAACCTGCAAGATTAGTAAAATGATATATTTTTTTTCTAAAAAGTTTTAAATAATTATTTTACTTAAAACCTATTAATAATTAATTTATATAAATGGAACTAAGTGAAGTGGTAGTAAATTTGAAGCAAATATTGAGTTGGAATTAAAAAGAAAAAAGAAAAAAAAAAAGTCATTTGGAACTGAATGAAATATAGTGAGTGGAGCGCGAAGAAAACATAAGATTAAGCCTGGAGCAGAAAATTAATATAGGGACATTTGGGTCGAAAATGCTGTTTTGATTAGTTAGGGGTCTCTGTCATGAGTGAATAGATAGGGTCATAGGCATTGATTTTGATCCCAAACCTAAACCCACCCGCATCAACTACCCCACCAATCATTGAACAACTGCTACTCCACAATGCCTACCATTAATCCAAACTGCAAGACACAAACACAACCATGCCAAAAAAAAAAAAAAAAAAA